TACTTTTGAGTGCCTTCTTTAAAAAGTTAATCCTCTGTGGCATTTTCTGCCACAATTCATGGAGCATGTCTTTGTTCCTTTTTTTTGCCTGTGTTGCCGTGTTCAGAAACTCATTGTGGATTTGGGGTAGCTTTTATTTTCTGTGGGGGGGGGACAGTGCAGTTTGTTACACAGAAGTCTCACGTATTTGACCTGCTGAGATCAAACTAAACTGTGGGTGTGTGTCACGGCCTGGTGCAGCCAGCAGGGGAAATCTATTCTCTAATCCCCACCAGGGGGAGAACACAGGATAGCCACAGGGGGCTGAGACATGCAGCCACTACTGAAGACTTCCTCTAGTTCAGTCACTGGAGAGAGGTGATGCCCTTTCTACTCACAAGTTGTGCAAAGGATTTCAACTTATTTCACCTTACTGGAAGATATATATTTCTACATCCTTCAGGGATGAGCTGACAAAGTTTCGAAGTTGTTTGGAAGAGATGTTGTCCCTAAAAGCACAGCATGACATTGGGCTATTTCAGGAGGACGTTGATGGGACTGCTGACAGTGCTTTGTCCCATCTTGCCACCAAGGTGTTGGCACCCCCTTTAGATGGTGGTGTGTTTGTGTTCCCCTTGATGCCATTCACTAGTCCATAGTTTTAATTCCAACCCTTGCTTTGTTGCCAGCTTGCCAATTTGAAGCTGGTGGTCTGGGCACACTCTCTCTGCTGCAGCCTTTTGTTTCACCCTGCGCAGGCTCTGCCAGGCGTGCTTTAGCTCTCCCACTACCCTCTTCTCTGAGCCTCAGTTGCGCATTGTTCAAGATTCTCAAGGCTGTTAATGAAAAAATATTCTATGCTTTCAAAATCCCAGTAAAACAGCAGCGCAGTCATTCTCCTCGGTCGTCCTGGTGCAGCAGGCCTGCTGCGAGACGCATGATAAATTGGTTCATGTGTCTTAAATCTCACCCTGACCATCTCTCATCACTGCTAGCTCTTCAGCTGTTGACCTCCACCCTGCTGCTGACTTCTGACCCTCTTCATTGTGTCTCCTTGTTCATAGCAAGCCGCTCTCACAATGGACGCCTCTCCATTTCAGGTCTCTGTATTGATTGGATCCTGCAGCACAAAAACACATTCCTCTCTCTCTCCTCCATTAATTCTCATGGCACCAAGCATCTTAGTCCTCGACCATGAAATTCAGAAGCTTTTTTCTTGTTGTGGATGTGTTTTACCTTGAGGAAATCACTGGGCCGTGTCTCCTGATAAGGATATATTTACCCAGCTCCAACACAATATCACACCTGCCTTTCACGCTAGCTGCTCCTGAATCTCACTGGACCAGCTAGTATTCTTTCTGCCGTTCTACTGGACAAGTGGAGCAAACACACCAATACAGAATGCAGCTCCGTGTTTACTGTCATTTACTGTTATTGCATTCATGAATACATCTGCATTGTGTTCAAAGGACAAAGCTCGGTACACTGACCGTACCTGCAGTGTGAGCATGTTTAAAATGCAACCAGTCATTTCTTTCATCTTATACACTGCAGCTCGAGTCGTTCAGAAAGGCACCCTGAGGTTTTTGCCGATGCAGCAAGTCGGGGAACGGACTAGTACAACCTCTGCTTCAATATTTAAGAGTATGTTGGCATGTCTTATCTCCTGAGAGCCAAAGAAGAGCGAGATCTCGGCTCCTTGTTGGTCCCCCTCTGCTCATTGCCGAGGAGTGATGCCATTGACAGGAGCGTTCTCAGTCACTTTATGAGACGAGAGCCTTGCCCTGCCCTCATTACCTCAGGAGTTACAACAGGTCTGTGAGTCAGTGCGATTTCACGTATTGGACTCCTGATTAATGCCAGTGATCATCAGCAGCTTCTTAAACGGCTTTGTCCTGCTGAGGCCTAATAATTTATGTTATTATGAATGCAACAAAAACGTCACATTGAGACTACTCTGTTTTTTATTTATTACAGAAGACACAGCCATGCCCGGCTGAAGAACACTTGCAATAGCTAATGAACACAAAGGAGATTTTTATTTTTCACATCTCTGCTTGGGAAATTTCAGCTCCCTCAGTGCAGTAACTTCGGAGAGATGTCGTTTTATTTGTGCTATTTATATTGTTTAGGCCGTTAGCACTCTTAAAAGAAAAGACACTTTGGGAAATATGCTTAGCTGCTCACTTGCCAAGAGTTAGATGAGAAGATCAATACCTCTCTCATACAGTATATGGTAAATATGGAGCGACAGCCAACAGTTAACTAAGCATAAATACTGGAAACAGGGGGAAACAGCTACTGTGGATTTGTCCAAAGCTCACTAATTAATACATCTGATCTCTGTTTTAAGTGTCGAAATGACCAGTTACTGGTTGGAGTCGACACTGATTGCCTTGCAGCCAAGCCAAAAAATAGTCCGACCCCAGTTAAATTAATGTGTTATTTTTATATTTAGCTTTTTCTACAGATTAAACAAACAACATATAACATATTAGTTGATGAGATTTAAAGGTGCCTGTAGGCTATTTTTTATACCTTTAGACTTAGCCGGGCTTGTTGTTTTCCCCCAACTCGAGTCTTCCAACTGTAGCCTGAGGGAGTGTCGTCAATCTTCTCATCTAAGTGTCTTTAAAAAAAAAAAAAAAAAAAGATGTGAGGTCATTCCAAAATATTGAACTATTCCTTCAGTTCACTGGGGAAGGGTGAAAAGAAAAGCTGATCATGTCCTCCGCCTCCACAACAAACAGTAGCAACCTATATTTGCTGAATCATCTCTGAGTCTTTGCTCAGGTAGGAGAAATGCTGCCAGTTCACCATCAACATTCCTGTTTAATGACTCATGAAGTTAACATGTGGCGCTGATAGATGGAGGTTATTCGTCGAGTATTTTTGACTAATTAATCATCTGCTTAATATGCAGGATTCTAATCAACAGTATGGAGACGTAACACTGTGCAGATGGACAACGTGATCCTTCCTCTGCCCTTCGTCTCATAACTCTCCCTTCCTCCCTTTCCTTGATAGGAATGAGGTGTTTTCAGTGCTGAGGATTCATGTTGAACATGAAAATAAGAGAGCAGCTACTGTAAAAAAAAAAAAAAAAAAAAAAAAAAAAGTAATGTGTTATACTGCACACTGCAGGTCAGAGTGTGATCTTCAGGTTCCTTGATGGCTGCATGTCTCAATTTCATTTGTGTCTAATTCTTTGATGCTTTAATCGTTACAAACACATCACTTATGCACCAGACACTTACAGTTTTTCATTTGAAATAGTGTTCCAGTTACATGTAGTTGACTGTTTTCAGTGTCAACTGTGTAGAGGACCTGTGTATAAAACAAAGCCCTGCCAGAGGATAGCTGGCACAGTGTAGTAGAGGGTACAGTAGTTGAACAGAAGGAAGGCAAAACAAAACCCTGGATTCTCTCTCAGCAGACACAGACGACTTCTCCCTCCACAAAACAACGAAGATCTAATTCCTTTGACAGAGTAAGACGTCTTATCTTCATTGAAAATGTCTCCTGCTCCTTCTGGGGTTTGGTTCTGTCCTCTTCTGGGGCATTCTTTGTAGAGGTAGATGGGATTTTTTCAAGGTTTAATTAACCCTTTTGGAATGACATGATCTCAGTGATTATTCATTTCTTCTTCTATGCAAGTCTAGAAGCTTTAAAATACTATTAATTATCAAGTCTGACAGCAGCACATTTCCATAGATGCATTATTCTTCAGAGTTAGATTTTTCCCTCTGCTCCTCTCACAAACATTTTTCTTCTAACTAAATACCACTTCACTACTAAACATCCACGTACTGATTGATGATGAAAACCTAACAAACGCAGAGGTCTCCTGATGGCACCTTGCCTTAAATAATTATACTAATGGGGACTGATAACCTGTCTTGGGGCTTTTAGAGCAGCAGACAAGACCTGGACTCGACAGCCAGTGGCGTAGCTTTCAGATAAAACATTTCCGAAAAAGGCACAGACAGCTATTCACTCCACTTTATAAAACATGCCCTTATCCTCAAAAAGAGTTGGAGTGACAGTACCTGACAGGTGTGACAGCGGCACTGTCAGTTTCTACCTTTTCATTTTCTGCACTCCCAAAGTGTGTGCATGCTCAGCCCTGGACTCATTGAAAGGCGGGAGCCATGTTTCTGTGCTGTGACAGGTGTAACATCGACTCAATGACCCACTGCTGCCTCAGCGCCATTATGAATGCATTATTCTGATTGGGTATGTCCGCATGTGTGCATGTGTATGACACGTCGATATCAGTGACTATGCTGGGAGACAACACCCCAGTAATGTTCACATGCATTGTGTAGAGATGCATGAAACTATTGCAAGACAACATGGGAATCTGGGCATCTTTTCATTTTTTAGTTATCTCTCTTTTTTCACTCTGTGTACTATGAGCCTCTGTTGCCTTGAAACAATAGCTAATTGTTACAAGTGTTATTGGAGCAAACATCGTGACACAGATAGTTTAACCTGACATTGATTTGTGTTTCTGTTTTTCCTTTTCTTTTTTTTAAAGACTGTCACACTTTCTCTCTCGCCTCTCCCTGATTGCCCTAACAAAACTTGTGCTTTGTGATCATTTATGCCAGATTGTGAAACTGGGATGTCTGTGTAAATCAGAATTGTTTTGGCTGCAGGCAGCAGATGAGATGCTGCTGCCTGCAGCCCAGTGCCAGTAACTTGTCCAATATGAGACAATGGAAATGACTGTAATGCTGTGGCGATAAATGAGATATAAAGGCAATCAACCATGGTGCATTGCTGCTTAAGATGCCCTTCAAATTTTTTTTTATTTATGTGTCTTCGTAAAAACCACCGTGGCGGACTTTTCTCTCGCTGAAGGTTCCCTCAACGCTGTCATTTGCCTTCGCAGAGTGACTGTAACATTTGGTGCTTTATTGTTTAAGGCATGGGGACATTTGCTGGTGAGAGGTGGAGGTTAAACTGTGACGGCGTCTCCAGGTTCTCATCTCTCTCTCTTCTGTCCCTGTCCTCAGATCGAGAAGATCATGACACTGATTGGTGCTGGCATCGATTTTTCCAGAGATCAGCAATATGCTACACCAGGTAGAGTATGATTATTATTATTACCTTTTCATGCCGTTGAATGTGAATTCATTCGTTGAAATTGAGTGTTTTATTCAAAAATAAATTATCAATGAAAGCTGAAAGTTTGAGGGAGGGGAAATATTTCACTACTGTTGCATTATTAATCTCTTGAGAATCTCACTGCGAGCCCACCAGGCTTGAACAAAAAAAAACCCAACTTCTGCATTTGGCTGAAGGCGGAGATTTGAGTGGGCAGATTTAGACGGCATTTCATTTCCTGCATTTCCTCAAAACCTTTAAACAGCCTTTTCTAAGTACATGGTACATACGGGCGCCCATAACTCATGCTTTCTTTACCAAACCTGCTCGGTTTTTCTTTGTAATCATCCTTGAAGTTATTTTATCCATATCACTGCCCACAAGGGAATTCAAACAGGTGCCAATGAAGGACGCGTCTGGAAACAGTTTGCAATTCAGTTAACAATAGAGGACATGGTACAAAAGTATAATGCAGGTGGACAGTTGGTCTGTTTTAATAGAGCAGGTGAGGAGAGGAATTGGCATCAGCAGCTGCAGAGAAAGGTACAGTACCGGTCAAAGGTTTGACAACTCCTCCATTTTTCCAGCTGTTATTTAAAGTCACGTAATTCAATGTCTCAGTGTTTCCAAAATTAAAGCTTGGACAGATAAAGAATTGGCGATTTTAAAAACAAGGAATCATGGCAGCTTCTTGTTGAACTTAAATGTTTGACTCATCCAGCAGCCGAACAGACTTTCTACAATAAAAACCTTTTTATTGTTCAGATATACTGTTGCAGAAGTTCACATGAATGTGTTGCACTTGTAGGTCACTTTACTTTCACCTTCTGTCCAGTTGATCCCAAACCAGCTCCATGTGGTCTGGAGACTCTGCTGGTCCTCCATCATGTGAAGGTTTGGGTCGTTATCTTTCCTTTGGGATGAAACTCTGACCAACCAGTCTGTCTTCCTTTGATACTTGCCCTTTTCTCACCATTGTGATTGACACATACAGTACTACTTCCTGCAGTACTGTCCTTAAGATGCATCAGAGGGTGTAGTAACACAGTTTGTTCCAACACATCCTTTGTAGAGACAGAGGGTTTGTAAGTTATTAACAAAAATTGGGGCAAGTGTAAGAACTTTTTGCATTTACTATCAAGGCTTCATTTAAGGTTAAACAGTTTCTTAATTTACCACTTACCTTCGTACCCTTTAAGGTTATTCACTGAACTTAAACTGCTCAAATTTCAAATAAAAACTGGAAAAATGGGGTGTTTTTAAAACTTTTTACAGGCAGCATAAGTCACGCTTTTAAACACTTTTCCTTGCCTTCCTCTTTTCTTGAGGCACTGGCTCCGAGCTGTGCTGTATGACACAAAACCTGAAGTGCTTTTCAGCCACAGGAGCCAGGTTTAGGTCAAGCACTGTTCTCTTAACCTGCCTTGAAAGTTAGCGAGTGTATTTTTAGTTTTTAAGACCAATGTGCCTGAGAGACACGATATTAGATCTATCCTAGCGATCTGTATTGTAATGTGGTTGTGTTAAGGATTCTGTACCGGCTCTCCTCTTATTCTTTGGGTTTTTGAAAAGCCTGTCGTCAGGGCTGATAGATGGTGCCTGGGGACTGTAGCTGTAACGCGAACAATCGACTCCTTCCCTTCAGCTTTCCTCTCTCACATTATTCACCATTCCCTTCCAGTTTACGCTTTGCCTTAGCCACATTATAAGATATTTAAGCAATGCACCAGATCCACTCTTCCTATGCACAAAGTTGTCTGTCTTCTTATTCCAGCCCTCTTGTTTCTCACGCCCTGCACTGGAGTGAGCTGTTTAAATATTAACCACTACGTATGTCAGGGGATGAGCTCATTTTGCTTTGTAGACTTGAGGAAAGCTGAGACCACTGCAGTAAAGTAGTTAGCGCTCCATCACTGGCTGTATCTGTCTGCTCTGTAAGAATCCACTCCTCTGCATATGTGATCCTCAACCTTTTAGCCGCCGTGCTCACAGCCCCGTCTCCACGAAGACGCTGTCAGGAGGCCATGGAGGGACTCACAGGAGAAGAGGCTCTCTGTTTGATGCACATGTGAGAAGCCCCCCACCCCACCCCACCCCACCCCACTTCTGAAAGCAAACCTACACCCTTGGCCATCATCTCATCCACCTCTCGTCAATGTTCTTATTGTTCATCAAATAAGTCTGCTGAATTTCTCAGTTCAGCCAAAGGAATTATAGGACCATTTCTTTATGTTTGTTTTGAACAAAAAAGTGAAGAATTGTGTGCGTGTGTGTGTGTG